TGTGTGCAGTTTTTTTTTTTTTAGAAAGCCATATCGGCCCGTGGAGAGTGTATGGACGCGCCGAGCCACGACGCGTGGAAGGGTCTGTGGGCGCCCCCTCTCTCGCCTAGGTGTGGCAACAGTTGAAGGGAGTGCACGCGAGGGAGGTCTGTAGAGTTGCTGTCACACGTGTCGCTGTCGACGAAGACGGCACACGAGGAATCGTCGTCGGGGCCTGTCYGTTTGGTCCATGCTTTCGGTTCGTCAACCCGCGTCCACCATAAAGGTCTTCCGCTTGCGCCTTCTCCAGCATTGAAGGTCGGCGCACACGGTGCACAGCGACGACATCCACACGGGACTCCCTCTGCCTTTTCTCCTCGTCGTCGCAGCGCAAAGCCACTACGAAGTCGCTCGTTTCTTCGCAGTCGTCGTYGGCTYGGTTTTCTTCGRCGGCGKCGTTTCTTCGTTGTGGATCTTTTCGATCTCCTTCTCGYCGCGGAACCTTCTCGCGGCGGATCCGTATCGCGCCTTGAGAGGTCCGGCGTCCATCAGTCACCAAGATCTTCTTCTCACCGCGGAGCGGTGTACGCTGGCTTCGTCTCCTTCACGTGCAGGACTTCATCAGTGCCATCGTCGATCGTCGCTCTCGCCCTTCATCGTTCTCCTTCTTGCCGTGGATCCTTCTCGCCGCGGATACGTATCRCCCCTTCGGAGGTCCGTTGTCGCTTCGCGAAGATCTTCATCTCGCCGCAGAGAAGTGTCCGCACGGTTCATCTCCTTCTTGCGTTCGCATCGACGTGGACGTAGTGTGCATGGCGAGGGCGAGGACGAATTGCTCCCCAGGGCGGCAAAGGCGCTTGTTCGTCGTCGACGCGAACAAAGGCATAGCCACAAACGACCATTGACGGAGGCGGGAAGCATGTCTACGCGAGGCGGCGCCCGTGGGAAGAAGCGGGAAAACATCCCCGTGGACAGTCAGGGGCGGAAAAGGGGTCGGCGGCATGTCCCAAAGGCGAAGAGGCTCTGTTCAGAAGAAGCATCAGCTAGCCTGCCTCATCGGCGAGGGCGAAGTTGGACKACAGCCAACGAGGAGGAAGATGGCGACATGTTCACGACGGAGGAGGAAGCAGCAGAGGAGAACGTGGCGGCRCCTCGGGGAAGCACTCTTCAAYGGTCGTATGATCAGAGYGGTGCGAGAAGATTGGCGACGCCCCCTCYGGAGGCACAACAAGTGCGTGCGCACAACACCCAGAAGGCGAAGGAGGTAGTCGTCGATGTCGGCGGCGAGGACGACGAGCCRTTGGGGAGCCGTAGACAGCGCAATGTGACACAAGGTGCCACGGCGACGGCAGTCAGGATACGCGTCACGACTGAAGAAAGGCCACCTCAGGGTGGCCTGCCCTTGACGCCGTCCCAGCCGCGCCCGCGCAACACGGCTGCAGAGGGGGGCTCCATGGAACGTGGGGGAGGGAGGGGGCCCA